CTTATCGAGGGACAATGAATAGGGATAACAGAGAAAAAATTGGCACATTTAAGCTGTGGTGTTGGAGAAGAGTACTGAATTGTCCATAGACAGCCAACAGAACAAACAGATACGTCTTTGAGAGGGTACAGCCAGAGTACTCTTTGGAGGCAAGAATGATGAGGCTTCATCTCACATATTTTGGGCATGTTGCTAAGATGGGCTATACTTTGGGAAAGGACATGATGCTTGGAAGGGTGGAGGGTCAGTGAGGGACAGGAAGACCTTCAACCAGGTGGATTGACAGGGTGACTGCTGCAATGGGCTCCTGTGTGTCAGGAAGTGTGAGAATGGTGCAGGATAGAACAAGGTTTAGATCTTTTGTTCACAGGGTCGCTATAAGCTGTGCTCGACTGGATGACAGGACAGCACCTAACAACAACAATACAGTTTATAAGCGTTAAACATAAATGTGTGTGTGTGTGCGTGTGTAGAAGTGTATATACAGATATATAAGCACATAAATACATACATATATAAAACAAAATTCAAATGCCATGGAGTCAATTCTGACTCATGGCAGCCCCCCATCAGGTTTCCAAGGCTTAAGTCTGGACAGAAGGAGACTGCCCGTCCTTCTCCTACAGAGTAGCTGGTGAATCCAAACTGCTGACCTTTCACATCCATTTCATCAATTTAAATGTATCTCAAAGCTTTTTAAAAGCTTACTTCAAGAATGTGCAGCATGGTTATGTTTGGATAGAATTATCCTATGTATTTTTCACTTATTGCACAACATTAATTTCCAAATGCATATCTATGTCCCAAACACTAGGTCTTTTGCCGTTTCGTTAGTCAACCTCTCCAAGGAAACTCCCTCATGTTAATGCACTTTGAAATAAAACTCTAGGAGCTCTAATTCTTGAAAAGAATAATCCTCAAATAAAATATAATTCTGGAGAATCATTTTGGAATGAGAAAGGAACTGATAGAGCAGTCTAATGAGATGAAGCACATGCCCACGGATCCAGCTCTGAGACTATGCATCTGGCTCTGTGACTGTCTGTCTAGGGTTACTTCACTAGTGAGCAGTTAATTATTTAAGTGAGAGAACAGGGGGAACCATCGCCACATCTGTCACCCTCACACAGAAAAAAACCTTCATTCATTGTTGGGCCAGATGTGTTTATTTGAAACATAGACTAACTAGCTACTTAATGGGTTTGAATCCATAGCCAAAAGCTAATTAGGCAAACATATTAAGCATCCGTCACCTTACAAGGCTAAGCTGTTTCAGTTGTGTGGACTTTAATCCAATTTCATAAGAGAGTTCATCACCTCCAAAAATATCTAAAGGAAACTCAAGGCAAAGAAAATGTACCAATTATTTACCATACAATATGTGAGACCAATATTGACACTCAATAAATAAACAAGTAAAATCTTCTCAAGCTTTGCCTCAGTGGTATCATGGACGTGATATACAAAAACAAAACTAAAAGTAATTCTTTAGATATCTGTCCTTCTCAAAACATTTGAGGCTTGCTAGAAGATGAAATACTAATGTCAAAAATGGGGCAAATGATTTCTAATGTCTTCTATTTATGATGCCATGTGTGATTTTGAAAATTGCATCTCCAGAGTACAGAGTCAATCTATAAATTATAAAAAAATTATCAGCAACCTCCATGATATCTTATTCTAACGGAGCATATGTTCAAAGGTACATTGTAAATGAAATAAGTTCAACGCCTGGGACAGAGCAGGCAAACTGCATTTTATATCTATATTGCAGAGAAAAGCAAGTTGCTCTCTTGAACACTATTATAAATGAAACAAAAGATTTTTCTATTCTTTTAAATGATATGACTCCTTAAGACAAAACCCAGGCCACTTTTTTCCTAATTGAAATAGGATCCTGCCCCAGTGATCAAATGCTCTATTTTAGGCTTTTATAATAACTGTCAAATCAAAATATTTCGTTAAAATAATTCATTCTTTCTTACAGCAAACCTTTAGTGAATTTAATAGGCCCTGTTAGATGCTATAGATACAGCCAAGAATAAAACAAACAAAATTCTTCTCAGAAAGGAGACACGACAACAAACAAGTGCTTGGAGTGAAAACTCAAACAAGGAAGGGGAATAAAGAGAATGCTGAGGGAAAGGGAAAGGCATCTTGCATTCTTAAATAGAGCAACCAAGAATAGACTTACTGAAAATGTTATATTTAGACAACACTTGAAGAAGATAAAGGTGTATGTCATCAGAGGAAAAGTATTTCAAGCACAAGGAACATCATCACATGCAAAAGTGGAATGAGCCAATATGATTAATGAACAGCTAAGGGGCCAAGGTTATCCACCACAAGAGAATGAGGAAGAAGCTCAGCGCAGCATGTGGCCAGAACCTGGAGGACCTTACAGACCCAAATCTCCCTCTTCTGAGTTGATTTTGACTCACTGCAACTTTACATCAGTTTCTGAAAGCTGAAATTCTTAGGGGAATAAAATGTTTCTCTTTCGGGGCAGTTTGTGAATTTGAACCACGTAACACACTACCAAAACAAGACTCCTTAAGGACTTACAGAGAACACTGCAATAGTTAGTCTGTTATTCTGAAAATGTATTGGAAATTGTTGCAAAGACTTTTAAGCAGAGGAGTCAACAAAAATTGATCTGTTTTAATGGGATCACGCAGGGTTAGGGTAGAAAGAGAAAGGTAAGTTTGGAGAATAATAATCCAAGCAAGAGAAGGTGGTTGCTTAATCTAGAATGACTGTAGCAATGAATGCAAGTAAGAAGAAGTGGATTCTGGGAAGGTAATTAAATTAGAGCTGAAAAAATTTGCTGGTGGGCTGAGTGTAAGACAAAGAATGAAATGACCATACAAAAGAACTGGATCTGAAAAACACAAAATATTCATCTGTAAACAGAAAAGATAGGTTGAGGGGTAGTAACAACCAGTCCAATATGGAGTTATAGATTCAATAGAGGAGCATAGAATTTCAAGTCAATAGAATACATGACAACTCGGAAAGTCACTGAGTCCCACTGTACACTTGGGCTCAAAATGGATCCATATAAAATTGATCCTACTTTAAGTTCTGGTCTTCACCTATACAGCCACAGCTATGTTCTCAGTAACACTAGATTATCATGTGACAGGACAATGTATATATCTACATATCTATATATCTATATGTACATGTATATCTATATCTATCTCTATCTCTATCTCTCTATCTCTATCTACCTATGTCATCTATATCTATCTATATCATATATATATATGTTAAAGAGCAGAAAAGACCTTCTTAATGAGTTTGCTTTCAAAGGTGGATTATGCAGCATCTTTTAATCAGTGCAATATAGATAACTGATAGAACTATAATTTACAAAGGTACCAATGATGTCCAATGTTGTTATTAGGAGCCGTCAAGTCGAGTACGACTCATAGCAATCCTATGAACAACAGATTTAAACCCTGTCCTATCCTGTGCCATATTCCCCATCTCTCAAACACTTGAGCCCTTTGCTGCAGTCACTGTGTCATTCCATCTCTTTGGGGGTTGTATACATATCCCAGGAAGTGCTCAAGTTAACTAAAAACTCCTAAAATTATTATTTTCAGCTTCATAGAAGAAGGTATAGTTTTCACTCTTCTGGCACTGTTTTGTTGTGGTTGACTGTTGTTGAGTTGAGCACGACTCATAGCAGCTCTATGAACAAAAGAGCTGAAGCCTTTTTATCTACCTTTCTAAATATCGTCATTTCTCAAAGTTCAGAGTTTCCAGAGGCATGTTGTTTAGAAAGTGGATGCCACTCCTGCCTCTGACACTAGACCTATTTTTATTTTTCTTCTGTTCTTGGCAAATATCAACACAAAATAAACACATTGTTAAAAATTGATTCTGACTAACCATAGAGTAGATTCAAGTTCCTAATAGCCTCATGTGTGTAAAACAGAACTGTTTATTATAAGGTTGTCAACGATGTGTGCCTATCAGAGGGAGATCACCAGGCCTGACTTCCAAAGTGATTCTTGGTGAGTTTGAACATAAAAGTGTATTTCATCCAGCAACTTCCTGCATAATAAAAGTAAAACTCACTCATTCATTGCCCTGGAGTCAGAACCAACTCATCGTTAAAACTCTACTGAGGTTTCCTTGGTTGTAAATTGCACAAGAGGAGATCATCCATTTCTCTCCCAGGAAGTGGCGGTGGATTTAAGCAGCAAGAGAAGCACTGTCTTTGGGTTAGCAAAATGGACTAGACCATGAAAGAAACACAAATTAAAAAGAATGACTAAAAGAAATACTAAAATAATAATTCAATTATCTGTATATATATAGTCCAGGCTCAGAGCTCTTATTTAAGATATCATTCTTGTTTAGTACCAGATCAAAGAACATAACAGTATAAAGTTTACTAGCAATGAACACAAATTGCTAGTACCAATCAATACAAATGTACAAATATTTTCGAATCCAAAATGTGCCATATTAATGATGTCCCTCTAGTTCTTTTATATTAGTATTAGTATTTATGAAATAGTGTACAATTGCTCAATCAAAACCTCATTTTAGACTGTGAGCTTATGACTATGTGTGTAAATTCAATACTCTAAAATAAATGACTTTGGGTCAACTTATTTAAAGTCTCTAACAATGGTTCTCAAATTCATCTTCATGAATATTTATAGAATCTTTGAAATAATAAAATGATAAAATAGACAGTACCATTTTAAAACTAATCAAAGTTGACATACTAACTCAAGTGTCACATCTATGGCTTACTGTCCAATAAGACTGTACATCAAAATGTTATTGTTGTCTATTGCCTTCGAGTCGAGCACGACTCATAGTGACTCTATGAACAAAAGGCCTGAAGCGCCTCTACTCTACAGCTATCAACACTGATCAAAGTATACAAAAATATTATGTAATAAAAAGTATATTATTTACCATTTTCTAGTAATTTGTAGCCAAAAGTTTAGAACTATTTTCAGTGAGATACTTACTCTCCAACTTTATGCAAAGTAGGTGCAGGACAAAGCATAGAATTAAGTTGTACTCTTACTGGTGTTACACCTAGAAAATGAAATACCATTGAGTTATTCATGTGAGGAGCATGCTGCCCTCAAATCTTAAGTATGGAAAATTAAATATATTAGCACACACACAAAAATATACACATCTAAAATAAGAGGAAAGGGAAATACAAAAATATATAAAAATAACAAATCATAAATTCATATTTTTGTAGCAGTCTAAATTTACAGTTATAAATACTATGTTGTTTCTGTGTACCTTCAAGTCGGAACTAACTTATAGCTGACCCTCCAGGAGGTTTTTAGAGGCAGTTAATTGCACGAGAAGAGACTGTCCATTCTTCTCCTGATAAATATTATAAAGTTATCTTTTTTCCCCTACACTATTTCAGAGGTTTTCTATTTTTAAAGATTTTTTTTTTAAATAGAGTTTACAAATAATAAAAAAAAATTATCCATGGGAAAATGAGTTTCATAAACTAGGCATGTCTAGCCCTTAGTAAATCTATTTTGTATTCTAAGAGATTAAGTTCTCTTTTCATTTTAATAACATATAAAAGAAAATTATCTAAGTATGTAGATAATCAAAAAGCTACATGATCAACAGTAAAATCTAAGAACATAAATATGATCACAATTCTGATTTCATCATTACTTTGAGAACTAATGTTAACTAATGGTCTTAAATAGCTATTAATGAAAATGTTGATATTATAATCAGCTTTAACAAGGAATAAAAAAAGCAGATGAATAATCATTGTGATCAAAGATTCTAAATAATAATCTTGGTCAAAAGAGGGAAGAATGTGCAATAGCATTTTAATTTCTAATTAGAATCCAGATTTCTAGAATCATTGAGGGTGTGTGAACCGTTGAAACTATCACAATGACAAAGAAAAATTTTCAATTTGAAACTGAAATATACTTAGAAGTCCACATAGAGGGGGGGAAAAAAATCCCATCCCAGTTTATCTCAATAAGAAAAGTATTTTTTGCTTTTTAAAGAATTATCACCATGTTATCAAGTTTTTAACACCAACTCAAAAGATTACATAAGAAGCTCTGGAGGTCAGTGAGGCTATATCAATGACAGTATGTTGAAATAATTTTCATGACTTGACGAATATAGTCAGTGTCAATGATTTGTACTTACAGAAAATGTTTAAATGAAATAAAACTGAATATTTTTTAAAAAATTAGATATAGCTTACTTTTAGATCATATCAAAAGGGCTCTAAACACAGCTACTGAATAAAAAGTATGGGTTTTTCCTTCATTATGAAACTGATTATGAACAGCATGCATTTGTTACAACCATTGTTCGTTTGCCTTACCAAACCAGTGATCAAAAACAGCAAGAGAAGTTAGAAAATTTACTGAGAGACACATCACTTTTTTTCAAGACACATACTGAACTCTTACTGTGTGTGTCCAAAACTGTGCTAATTGAAGATGCTAGTACCATCATATAAATAGCAAAATAGCAGACAAATCTCTTGAAAAAATAATGTCACCAAAGCTATAAAAAGTTATAGAGTATCCTTTACAATAAACACTCCTACAGGGCAATATAATCAGCCATGAGAAAAAACAATGTTTTAACGGAAAATTAAAATGTTAGGAATATCCCAAAACTCAGAGCAATTTTAGAAGTAAAAGTTTTCTCCAAATGAGTATAATAATGTTTTCCTTATCTGCTTTTTCAAAAATTAGAGAAAGAAAAATGAAATTCAGTACTATAAATATTATGACGATCTAAAAACAATGTGCTGGGTGGCCACTGAACATACAGAAAAGATTTCTAAGACAAAAAGGTTTACTGGTAAGATAAACTCCAAAAAATAACAAAATAGGCAAGAGTAAATTTGATTTTTAAAGCAATAGGTCAGGAAAAAGACAATTAACCTGGGCAATTGATACAGTACAGGGAAAAAACCTGAGTCAAACATCAGCTTTTCCTGAGACCATGGTGTTGCTATGTACCGTAGAATCGGAACCGACCCACAGCTGACCCGCCAGAGGATTTTTAGAGGCAATAAACTGCACAAGAGCTCACTGGCCAGCTTTCTCCTGCAGAGCGGCTGGTGGATTCAAATTGAGTTCATCTGCGCTGGCAGCGAAATTCCTTATACAAGAGCTCCTCATTACTAACTACTGTTTATCTAATCAGTAAAATAAGGTTATTTCAGTACCACCTGACATTTAGTTTGTTATGAACAAGTGTTGTCATCATTCAACAGCTATTAAAAATCTTTTTCTATTGGGTTATCAATGACACTTCATTTTTTCCCCTTCTTGATTAAAAGAAAATAACATAGTTTTACTTGGATAAAAAACGGACTTCATTCTTAATTCATGCTGTGCAGATTTTAAGGTAATATTAAAATCATGAGAAGACCTACTCCTTGTGTATGTTTCATTGACCGTATATGTGCAGAGCACACTGCCATTTTCACGCCCCAGCACGAATCCTCTTCCATTCAAAACAATTTGAAATTCCTCTGAAAACAAAAGGAAAAATAAGTGTTTAAATATTTTTTCCAAAATAACCTACAACATTAGTAGTTTAGTATTACTCAATAATTCTGAGCAAAGATTTTTTTTTACATAGTATTCTGTCAACACTAACAATAAAGACATCACTCTATTTACAAATCAACCTGTTTTTTCAGACTCCCAAATTGTGGTGCTAGAGAAAAATCTTGAACATACTATGGACTGCCAAGAAATCAAATAGATCTGTCTTGGAGAGGGTGAAACCAAGTTTTTCCTTGGAAGCTATGATTTTGAAGATCTGTCTCACGTACTTTGGGCATATGGCACATGGACCAATCCTTAGACCGGTGCTTAGCTAAAACATATTACATTAATTATGTTTTTGCTACCTGCCATCCAGTTAGCTCTGATTCACAGGACTATCATATAAAACAGCAAGGCTTCAACTGGTTCTGTGTTATAATATGTTGTTAAATTTAAGCCCACTATTATATCCATTTCCTAAACAACTTACTTCCGGAAACTCTACGAACTTTGATAAATGTCAAAAGTTATAGAAAGGCTTCAGGCCTTTTGTTCACAAGGTCACTATGAGTCGTGCTGGACTCAAAGGCAATCAACAACAACATTGTATCACCTCTGTCAACCTATCTCATTGAGAGTTTCCCTCTTTATGCTGGGTTTCTACTTAATAAATCAGTGAAGTGGGGAAACGACAGCCTTTTTAACAAAAGGTGCTGGCAAAATTGGAAAAATATCTGCAAAAGACTCAAGCAAGACCC